TGTATTGGCTTGCTACTTAGAGCATTTCATTCTACTGTGCTCTAGTGCTGCGTCTTATACAACTGGCTCTGGAATCCCTGCCTGGCACAGATTACAAGTGACCTAGATAATGCCAGCTGGACCAGCGTCTCCCTTTCTGAGCATCCCTTCCTGCCCCAGCTGCTGCCAGAGTGACCCTAAAAAATCTGTGAGGCCAAGGCTTCCAGCATCACCAATAATAATAATAATAATAATAATAATAATATATTTTTTTATTTATACCCCGCCCTTCCCGGTTTAAAAACCACGCTCAGGGTGGCTAACAGCAAATATAAAACATTGATTAAAATGCGACTTAAAAACAGCATAAAATGCAGCATCAATATCAGTAAAATTCTAAAATTCAGGGGTCATGGGGGGGGCCAGTCAGTAGACACTGAATGATCACCAGGGCTAACTGGCCAAGTTGGTCCTACTAGGGCCAGCAAGGAGACCAGGGAAGAATTTAAATGTGGGGTCCCGAAAGGGTTTCTTCATAGAAGAGGAAAGGGGAAAGGGAATAGAGGATCAGGCTAATTCAAATTGGAGGCCAGGTGGAATAGCTCTGTCTTACAGGCCCTGTGGAAGGAGATAAAGTCCTGCAGGGCCCTGGTCTCGTGGAACAGAGCATTCCACCAGGCCGGAGCCGTCACTGCAAAAGCCCTGGCCCTGGGGGAGGATAGTCTGGCTTCCTTAGGGCCCGGGTACTTGATTGCATTAATCCGTCATTGATCATGCTGGAGGAAGCAGGTCATAGAATCATAGAGTTGGAAGGGACCCAAGGGTCATCTAGTCCAATCCCCTGCAATGCAGGAATCTCAGCTGATGCATCCATGACAGATGTCCATCGAACCTCTGCTTTAAACCTCCAAGGAGTGAGAGTCCACAACCTCCTGAGGGAGATTGTTCCACTTTTGAACAGTTTTTTCCGTATGTTTAGTCAGAATCTCCTTTCTTTTAACTTGGTCCAGGTCCTACCCTCCAGAACAGGAGAAAACAAGTTTGCTCCATCTTCCATGTGACAGCCCTTGACATATTTGAAGATGGCTATCATATCACCTCTCAGTCTCCTCTTTTCCATGCTAAACATACCCAGATCCTTCAAGCACTCCTCATAAGGCTTGGTTTCCAGACCCTTGATCATCTTGGTCGCCCTCCTCTGCACATGTTCCAGCTTGTCAACATCCTTCTTAAATTGTGGTGCCCAGAATTGGACACAGTATTCTAGGTGTGGTCCAACCAAGGCAGATTAGAGTGGTACTATTACTTCCCTTGATCTGGACACTAGATTTCTGTTGATGCAGCCTAGAATAGCATTGTTGTTGTTGTTTAGTCGTTTAGTCGTGTCCGACTCTTCGTGACCCCATGGACCAGAGCACACCAGGCACCTCTGTCCTCCACTACTTCCCGCAGTTTGGTCAGACTCATGCTGGTAACCTCGAAAACACTATCCAACCATCTCGTCCTCTGTCGCCCCCTTCTCCTTGTGCCCTCCATCTTTCCCAACATCAGTGTCTTCTCCAGGGAGTCTTCTCTTCTCATGAGGCGGCCAAAGTACTGGAGCCTCAGCTTCACAATCTGTCCTTCCAGTGAGCACTCAGGGCTGATTTCCTTAAGAATGGGTGCGTTTGATCTTCTTGCAGTCCATGGGACTCTCAAGCGTCTCCTCCAGCACCATAATTCAAAAGCATCAATTCTTCGGCGATCAGCCTTCTTTATGGTCCAGCTCTCACTTCCATACATCACTACTGGGAAAACCATAGCTTTAACTATACGATATGCCTGTTGTCTTTGTCCATGGAGTTTTCTTGGCAAAGATACTGGAGTGGCTTGCCGGTTCCTCCTCCAGGTGGATCACGTTTGGTCGAAACTCTCCACTATGACCTGTTCATCTTGTGTGCCCTGCTCGGCGTAGTTCATAGCTTCTCTGAGTTCTTCAAGCCCCTTCGCCACGGCAAGGCAGTGATCCATGAAGGGGAGAATAGCATTAGCTTTCCTAATTAGCATTAGGACACACTGTTGACTCATGTTAAGCATGTGGTCCACCAAGACCCCTAGATCCTTTTCACATGTACTTCTAGTAAGTCAGGTATATCCCATCTTATATTTGTGCATCTAGTTCCAATGCATTTTCATCTGTCATGCCAGACTTCTTAAACTTATTCTATACATTTAATTTCTTAGGAAGTACATAAGAATCCCTGTGCACAGTCCTGGGGGAAGTTGCTGGTTGTGCCCATGTCAAGCACTGAAATTCAACAACACTTTGGGCCCCTGATATTGCAACTTTGGGGAATGTCCTGCAAAGAAATATGAAATGCTAATTTGATTCGGTTTGCAACTGTTGGCTATCAAAAACAGGTGGTGAAATGCGTTAACCCCCCCCCCCCCGGTATCCTCTCAAGTTTACACACTTAATGGGAGATGATGAATGTGGTAAGGGAAAGCGAAATAAATGTAAAAAGGTAAAGGACCCCTGGACTATTAAGTCTAGTCAAAGGTGATTATGGGGTGTAACACTCATCTTGCTTTTCAGGCCAAGGGAGCCGGCATTTGTCCACACTAAATGGGGCACTGTGGCAACTGCCAGAGCGCACGGAAACGCCGTTTACCTTTCTGCTGCAGCAGTACCTATTTATCTACTTGCACTGGTGTGCTTTCGAACTGCTAGGTTGGCAGAAGCTGGGACAGAGCAATGGGAGCTCACCACCATCACACGAATTCAAACTGCTGAGCTTCTGATCGGCAAGCCCAAGAGGCTCAGTGGTTGTTGGGCAACCATCAGGCTTTATAGTTTGACCAAAGATGTCACTAGCACAATCAGTCAAAACTGAGATCAACAAGATACACAGATGCACAAATATAAGATGGGATACACCTGGCTTACACAAATCAAACCAATTATTTATCTTTCCATTGGAATGAAAGAAAAATAAATAAATAGGGATGGAGGTCAGATTGCATTTTAATGTGAACCTTCCACTTTGAACTTCCTGAACCGGTACAGGAACTGAAAGACAGCTCTTCTTAAAAATACATACTTCTCGCAATTTTGCGATGCAGATCTCCAGCTGAAGAATATGTACAAAAATACATATACAGGCAACAATCAATTTAGGTGTGTCCAAATGATGCGTGATTGCACACACACACTGCACCAAACCCAGAAGTAGCCCCCAAACGTCATAAAGGCGCCATGAAAAGGGGTGGAGTGGGCTTACACACACTCTGGTGCAGCACTGAACCCCCGCACAAAATGAGGATTGCCTTTAGTAGTGAAGATAATGTGGAAAAAGCATTCTTTTAGGGAGAGTTGCTTGCAAAAATACGTATACCAGGCAAAATTGTGTTTCAAAATGCATATTGTTACAAAAGTTGGGTGCCCCTCCCCATGCTGTGCCAAGTGGTAGCAAGATGGTTTATTCACCTATTTAAACCTTCAATCTGCATGGAGGAGTCCAGATCATACAGCATGGACATTTCAAGAGGGGCTTGTCTCCCACAGCAGTGCAGTCCTGGAGTCAAAGGCATCTTTCTCAGCCAGCCTTCAGCAAGCCTATCCAAGATGGATCCCAGTCTTTCTTCTCCCCTTCTTCCCAGCACACCTTGTTATAAACACTCTTTTCCTGTCACTTCCCACCTAGTTAACCTGGCATCCTTCTGTCCAAGGTTTTTTCTAGGCCAGCCAGGCTGGTTTGCATAAGCCAGCCCAAGGATTCCTTGTCTGGCACAATTCTGTTGCTTGTACTTTAATCTATATCCCAATTAATCAAAATCCTACCATTTATTAATTTATAGAATTTAGGGAGGTCCCTCCCAAATCTATAATAATATATTATGAGAAATGTGCATGAATTGCATGCAACTTTTCATGTGAACTTCCTCCCTCCCTCCCTTTCTTTGCAAACTTATGAAGAAATGGGGCAAACCAAACTTAAAATTGGGAAAAGAAGAAACAGTGAGAAATGGAAGTGATAGATTTTCCTATCCCAACAGTGAGTTGTGTTACAACTGTTACGCTTGCTTGCATCAGAAGTAGTTTCAGAGAGCGTCAGAGCTTGCTTCAAAGAGAGAAATTATGGGGAAATCATGGAAATTTGACTTAGTCGCTACATCCACATAAAGCTCAATAGTTCAGAGTCTCTCTCACACACATACAGGTTTAATCCACTCAATCACAAATGTTCCATAGTTATTTTACTTCTTTTGGGGGGAAACAGTTTGAAAAACATTACTGAGGAAAACTCCCTCAGTGCTCACTGATGTAGAGTGACTGTATACCCTGCTAGAATTACAGCTGTTCTGTAATTATTTATGAAGCTATTGCCACTTTATAAATTATATACCATGCTCCTTTTTATTTTTGTCTTAATAAGTTTGTATTAATTTTGTACAGGAGTTTGAGCTATTACAATATCTCAGCTGTTTCGTATTCTTTGTTATCAATCAATATTTCATGTTGTATTTATTAAACTGGTATTAAAAATGACCCGGGTATCCTAGATACTGCCAGAGGTTATAATACATATTGCCAGAGTATAACGGAGAGGCTCCGTCACCTGGGTGCAGCTACTCAGGACTTCCTGTGGTGTGAGCAAAATGTTATAAAGCCCTCCAGAGTCCTCCATATGTTGCTGGATTCGAACTCCATTCATGGCCACTGGACATGCTAGCTGGGCTGATAGGCGTTGGAATTCAACAACATCTGAAAGACATCATATTGGCCACACCTGATCTAGAGTATGGGCTGATAGGTTCCTGGTAAAAACAAGTGTTTGACCAGGACACTTGAAAGGATACAGTTTATAGAAAAATATGTATCTGTGTGTGTCTGTGTGTTTTTGATACTATTCTTCAATACTATAGCACACTCTGGCAATACCATGCAGATCTCCACAGGGAAAGAAGCAATACAACCCAGAGGAGGAATGAATTTCTTGTGTAATTTTTTTTTTTTACTAGGATGTTGGTGGGCATTATTGTCCATCTGGTGACACTCTGAAATGTAATCCTACATTAGAACAAACATACGGTAGTTTAAGCATGAAGTATTTGTTTCCAATGAAAAATATGTTAACTCCCATCTTCTCCCTAGTACAGACAGTGACTGGTTTAGGAATATTAGTATTGGCTTTAGTTTCATATTCATGACCTTTTGTTAATGTCTTGGGGTGACTTTTACAATAACAAAATCTTTCTATGTATCTTAGGGTTTCTTCATGCAACCATCTTGTCTGCTTTGTGGCCATATTTCAAAAAGTGAAAATCTGGACACAAAAGTTGTTGAGCTTGTTTTGTTTTGGCAGAAAAAAGTAAGTTTTTGAGCTATTTTGGGGGAAATTCACCAAAAAAAATCAACACTTCTGATGTGGGCTGCCATATGCTCTGATTTTGCCAGACATTCTAACTGATTTCTGAAAATTCTGCCGGGATGCTCTTTTTGGCAGACACATCCTAGATATATCCAGGAAATTCTGGACGTATGGCAGTTCTAGCTTTGTGGGATACATCTAAAGCATGACCTTACATTCCTTTTTTAAAAAATTTTTTTTATTGATTTTCCAATAAAAACAGCCAATCAACATATCCGCATCATAATCTAATTAAAAACAAAAAACTAAAATTTAAAAAATGACCAAAGACCTTACATTCTTTATACTCCAGTGGCCATGTGTCCACAACCCACAGTCTATTATAGGTCCTATTAAAACATCTGCCGAAAGCATTAACATATTAATTAAATGTTTATAAATGGAGTTAACGGAGTTAAAGTGTTGACAGTAGTGAACACTGGAGTCTCTAATGAACACAACTGATATTTAAAATTAAGTGTCCCTGACCCTTGACTGATTCTCAAGTCTCTAGGCAGTGTTGTGCAATTTGTGTGTAGGCAAAACTGAGAAGCTTTGTGTATGTGTGTGTGTCAGAGAGAGACCAAGAGTGGCACAGAGAAATGGACCAAAGAAACGCATGCTGTGCATTCTCATGTCAGCTTCAAGGAGCTGAGTAGCATCTCAGAGTCTGGGCTCAAAGAGTCTCATAGTACTTGAGGTTTTGATGCTGAGTCTCTTAAGACTGTTCTAGTATTATTTCTCCTGCCTCATCAAAGTCAGCCTTCTGACCGATGAGCACTTGCCATTCTGCCCCACTAAGGAAGTGAAAGCTTTATTGCTTTGGTAGGTGCTGGAACTGAACTCGGGCAGGAAATACAACTGGGTTAAAGGTTAATGTCAAACCTTTCTGCTCTGCCATACGTCTAAACTAGTTTCAAGCCACCTTACATGTTTGCAGAAATGGTGTGGAGGAGGGGCATGGTTTAAACCAGGGGTAGTCAACTTTTTTATACCTACCGCTTACTAATGCATCTTTCTTGATGGTAAAATTTTCTTGCCACCCCGCAGTGCTCGATGGAAGGAGGATTCAGCTTGTGCCGTAGAACCCCCTACTGCCCACCCAGAATCCTGAAACGCCCACTAGTGGGTGGTAGGGACCAGGTTGACAACCCCTGGTTTAAACAGAACAGGTTAGGTTTGATAATGCTGAGATACCACCATGAGTTTCTCTTAGTGTAGCCATTTTTAAGCACAGGATGTCTTAGAAATTCTGATGAATCAGTTAGGATGACTCTGCTCTTCTCCACATTGAGGTTTGGAGTTCTCAACCACATTGGCAAGCACCTCTTCCATAAGCACAACTTTAGAAACAAGTAAAAAGAAAGTTTTTGGTGTACTTTCCCCAAGTCCAGAGTATACAACCATCAACATTAGCTTGTGAATTTATTTTTAGAACACAAAGGTTAATACCATCTCGGGGAAGATTTAGCAAGAAATTCCACAGAATTTTTAAACTAATGAAGCCAACTGTCAATGTATTTTTATTTAGGAAAGTTTTATTTAGGAAAATGGGGCAGGGGATAAAGGAAACAAATCACATAGACTTCCAAATAAAACAAGGAAGTCAGTTAAGATTAGCTAGTTGCATCTTACCTATTTAGGCTTCAGAGCATAATTCCTTTCAGAAAAAAATTGTCTGAGATAGGGTTAGTCCCTTTGGTTAACCCAAGTATTTAACTGATCTGCCTAGTTCCCAAGGAGATAAAAGGCTTTGGGGTGATTCACACCAGTAAAAGCCAAGCTACTTCCTTAGAATGTGGTGTGGACCAATGATAGAAGGAACTTTATTGTTGATATCAGGGAACAAAGGAGCCCATGAGAAAGTTACTTGGAGATTGTTCCACCATTCTAACAGATTTGCATTTCGAACATAAAAGAGCTAGCCAGGGGTCAGCAAACTTTTTCAGCAGGGGGGCCCTTGTGGGGGGCTGGACTATATTTTGAAAAAAACAAATGAACGAATTCCTATGCCCCACAAATAACCCAGAGATGCATTTTAAATAAAAGGACACATTCTACTCATGTAAAAACATACCAATTCCTGGACCGTCTGCGGGCCGGATTTAGAAGGCGATTGGGCCGGATCCAGTTCCCGGGCCTTAGTTTGCCTACCCATGAGCTAGCCAGACCACTCCAACTATTGGAAAAAAAGATTAAACTGGAAAAGTTGATGGAAAATAAAACTGAAGAATTGCTTCCATGCTGGGGTCAGTAGGGGTCTAGATTCCCAGATGAGTAGGCTCTGGTCTAAATCAGAATATCAGAGGGCTTGGTACAGGGCATTCATACATCAGTACAGAAAGATACTGACTGTGGATCGGGGCCCCTGCATCCCCTGCCTTGCAATCTGTGGACAAGAGCTGCTGCTTTTATGCATATATTAACTTAGCCTAGCCTACCTCACAGGGCTGTGCAAATATAAAGGGTGGTGGGAACACATGTAATCTTGAGCTCCTGGGTGGAAAAAGAAGATTCGAATATATGTCTCACAGCCCATAGTGGAACTATGGAATTTGCTCCCCCAGGAGGCAGTGATCGCCACCACTGTGGATGGCTTTAAAAGACGATTAGACAAATTCATGGCTACTAGCCATTGCTATGCTGTGCCTCCATGATCGGAGGCAGTATTTTTCTGAATACCAGTTGCTGGAAGTAAGGGGGCAGTGCTATTGTGCTTCTGCCTTGCTTGCAAGCTTCTCACAAACATCTGGTTGGCCACTGCAAGACGGTGAAGCTGGACTAGATGGGCCATTGGCCTGATCCAGCAGGCTCAATGTCATTCACAAATCATATAAACAAAGCCAGAAAAAACAGCCTCATTGTGCTAACTGCAGTGTTTCATATTCCTGATACTTACAGTAAAAAACTCAAACAAACCAAAGGTTTGCCAGTCCATAAAATAATAACAAACAAAAACCACTCCTAATTATGTGCAGTTTCACAATGTGTGAATATAAAAAGGGAGAGGAGAAGACAATGTACACAGCCTTGAGGAATTTAGGAGGAAAATTAAGATACAAGTATGCAGCAATAGGGAGCAACAAATATGTACAGTTTCACAGCTCTCATCCACTCCCCCCTCAAAAATACACATTTTGCCAACCTTGTTAAACAAAAATCCTTAAAGTACACTCTCTGTGGGGTAGAGAGGCTGCAATATCACAATGTTTTTCCAGTAGGAAGGAAATCTCCTTTATTTCAAGGGAGTTACTTCTGAGTAAAACATACCAAAGCTAACCAGTTGTGTTTTATTCTGTAAAGGCAGTACAGTGGTGTCTCGCAAGACGAAAATAATCCGTTCCGCAAGTCTCTTCGTCTAGCGGTTTTTTCGTCTTGCGAAGCAACCCTATTAGCGGCTTAGCGGAAGTCCTGCCCCGCTCCAGATGGCCGCACAGAGCTGCCTGCAGTCCCGGGATCAGCACACTTCTCCCCATCGCCAGCCCCACAAGCTTGGGGGACAGCGGAGAGGCAGAGCACGCCTTCCCGCTGTTCCCCGACCTGGTTCTTCCAGCCCCGCACCTGGGGGGGAAATAATTTTTTTTTCTTTATTTCCCCCCCAAAAACTAGGTGCGTCCTATGGGCCGGAGCGTCCTATGGGGCGCAAAATAGGGTACCTAGGCATCCACTTCCAATATAACACTTTCTGGAAATACAATTGTAAGCTTGCACTTAACGGAGCAGATACTCTAATGTAAGCACTGATAACTAGGAAACACTGACCTGTGAGCACTCCAACTGGAGAACAGCCTTTATCAAAGGTGTCATGGGCTTTGAAGACTCTCAGACTCAGGGCAAAAGGGAGAAATGAGCTAAGAGAAGGCACATTTGGCAAACCCTGACCGTGATCAACTCCCACTCAGAAACCTATGTTCCCACTGTGGAAGGATGTGTAGATCTAGAATTGGCCTCACAAGTCACTTACAGACTCGCTGTTCATGGAATCTTACTCAGCTACGAGTGATCTTCAAAGAAGAAAAAAGAAGAGGAATGCATCCAATCCTAATTTCTGTGCAAAATCCTGGGGCTGCCAAATTGTGTGCCATATGCAGCCATGTTTCTGTAAACTGGACAAGGGCTGCTGGGAACCAAAGCGTGGCTCACCACTATAAAATTCTGGCTCCGCCTACATTTCATGTCCGACCTGTTGCCTTTAATTTTCAACATGCTGACAGAATCCCAACACTCCAAATGGTTAGCTTGCATTGAGAGCAAAATCAAAGCCTGTGGCCTATCACTCAAGTCGCTGCTTTTGCTCCCACAGTTGGAAGCATTCCAGGCAATCAAGCGCAGAATCCTAGAGATTGAATTCCCAACCCTTAGCAGCGCAGGCAATAAAATCTGTTCCCCATTGGGGTTGGGAATTCCACCCTCGTTTGGCCAGGACACTCTCTGTTTACATCACCTTTACAATTCTCACCTACGCAGAACTCTCACAAGATGTAACATCTTACCAGCTGCAATTTTGCAAGGTAGATTTTCAAAAATCCCATATTCTGAAAGATACTGCCCTTGTGTCACAAAACAGGTCGAATCCATCACACACGTTTTATTTTATTGCCCATTTTATATAAAAATATAATTATTTGGCCCCCTTATTGAAGGAGGGGATTTATTGCACTGACTCTTCCAAGGTGTCTTATCTGCTGAATAATTGAAGGAATGACTTTGTGGAGAATGTGGCAAGATTTTTTTATTTTTATTTTTGGCTAATAAAGTCTTTAATATTTTCTGAATGACTATAAATGTGGCAAGATTTTTGAGTGACACCATGAAATTACATTACCATGGGTCCTAAGAGTCATTTTCGTACCTCATGATGTCTAGACAGTTTTACCCTAAAATATCTCCTGCTATATTTCGTTTATTGTGTTGTGTTCTGATCTGTGTATACGATGCACTTTCTCTGTGCCAGTAAAGGAGATTGATTAACATGTCCAATGTATGTGTATGGGTAGGCTTGCCTAAACAAAAAACTGCTTTAGCAGGTGCATAATAATAGGGTAACACTTGGCATTGCTGAATGCTGACTTGCATTCCTGGCTTGTTCAGAACTGTAAACATGAAACTTAACTAATTTACATGATACATCATCTGATACGTTATTTTACTTTTCTGTTGAAATAAATATATGATAATAAATAGTACCTGTGCCCCAGCTAAAAGGCAGGATGTTGTTGTGTGCCAGGGGCTTGTGGTCTAATACAAGCTCTCTGAGGAAGTGGCTGGGTTTCTGCTCATAAGTGGAGTCTAACTGGTTGGGTGACTGCCAGATATCAGCAAGGACTCCCCCTGCCTCCTCCCTTCACTATACCACATGAAATTAAAATAGCAGCTTTCAACCCGCTTTGGCAGTTGCAGGAGTTCCCAGAGTTATTTAATTTAGTACACAGACTGCAAGTGTATCTGTCCATGTGCCTTAGTGAATGAATCTTCAATGAAGATTTTGCCAGAATGCATGAAGAGGAGGATAGCTGTGTTGATGTGCTAACCACTCAGTGCTGTTTTGCTAACACTGAAAGGAAAAACAGATTATCATAGCTTACAAAGATGAAACCATTGCTGAACTGTACCACCACCTCTGATATTAGTGGGAATTCAGCTGTATTCATCTGGTATAGCCAGAGATGGATAGCTCTCTTTCATGTACCACCATTACCGTTTAGAGAGCACAGCAGGCTGTCTTCCACTTGTGAACAAGCAACATCCCCTCTCTGTAGCCTTGCCTGATTTCTGCACTGCTCTGGGAGAAAGAAAGCAACGTGATCTTCCAAATGCTGCTTCTCCAGCTTTATCTACAAACAGCTTGAATTTCTGCGGCAGTAATTATAGCCTGAAGATCTAGGCACTTCCTTTGGAAGACATCCCATATTTTTGTTTATCATAGCTGCCAGATTCCCCTCCCTGTGAAGAAAAGGGAGAGGGGGGGGTTGGATGGAGGAGGCCTTTATATTAGATCTACCTGTGTGAATTTTGTGGTCTGCATATTCTTTCCATATTCTAGGAATAGATTTCCTGTATGGCTATTGTGCTGATCTACTTAGCAAATCTGGACAAAAATTAGTGCCTAAGCATCAGTCTCAGGATTTTCTTCATCCCTTCAGGACTGAAGAGAGCGCTGCAGGTAGCTAAGTACTTGGGTGTCTGAGCAAATTTGCAGCCCTATTTCAGTCTCTGGAAGTTATCGTATTTTTCGCCCCATAGGGTGCACCGGCCCATAGGGCGCACCTAGTTTTTTGGGGGGGAAATAAAGAAAAAAATATATTTCCCCCCCAGGCGCGGGGCTGGGGCTGGGGAAGCCCGAGCTTCCCCCGACCCCAGAACAGGCTGCTATCTGCAAGCCTAGGGAGCCCGGCGGGAAGTCGCGCCGGTCTCCCCAGGCTTGCGGAGAGCTGCCCGAAGTCTGGGGAGCGCTGAACAGGCTTCAGGATGCAGGCAGCTCTCCGCAACCCTGGGGAGACCGGCGCGACTTCGTGCCGGGCTCCCAAGGGTTGCAGAGAGCTGCCCGAAGCCCGGGGCGTGCTCCGCTGCACTCCCCAGGTTTCGGGCTGCAGGCTGCTATCCGCAAGCCTAGGGAGCCCGGCGGCAACTCCCGCTGGGCTCGCAAGGCTTGCGGATAGCTTCCTGAAGCCTGGAGAGCAAGAGGGGTCGGTGCACACCGACCCCTTTCACTCTCCAGGCTTCAGCGAAAGCCTGCATTTCCCTTCAAAAAGCCTTCATTTTTGGAGGGGGAAAAGTGTGTCCTATAGGGCGAAAAATACGGTATTTTCTTTGAGCTGCTGCTGCCTGTTACTTCATCTTCTTTGCCAGAGCAGAAAAGTTTTAACAGTGGGTGAACCAAGCTCTTGAAGAACCAAGCCTTGTAGTTCCTCATCGTTATGTCCTCCCTCTGAACAGTCAAATGGAGGGTGGGGAGAAAAAAAAACCCCAACCCTGGTTTTTTAGCAGTGGAGAATGGAGCATCAGCTATATAAAAAAAGCAGTAAAACATTTTCTGTACTAATTTTCTGTATGGGGCTGTACTCTTATATGATTTTTTTTTCCCTTTCAAAGATGAATAGAAAGGCAGTGATTTAGGGCTGGTGTTTATTTACATTGTTTTTGCTGGGGGGAAATGTGTTCAGTTCTTCCAATACAGGAGTATGTTGTTCTAAAGAAGGCCTTCCTGGTGCCCAGTGCAATGGCTTCATATTGACAGTTCAGGAGATGTCTGCAATAAATCTTAGGGATTTTTGAGGCTCAACCCATTAATAGCCCATAATCATTTTGTGCTACACCAGAGTGCTCAAATTTCTTGTTTCTATCTACTGAATCCCCAGTAGACTGAGACTGTGCTCCCAAAAGATGTGATGGGTGGGTGTGCTTTATAAGTGTTGTTTTGGCTCTGTGCTGACTGTAGCTGTAGTTGGATGAATCGTTCCAGTGCTTTTTTCTTTAAAAATGTTTAGGGGTACTCTCATTTTCCTACTCATATTGAAATACTGCCTCTCAATGAGGCCAAACTTAGATTCACAAAATGTTTAGGGGTATGTGTACCCCTGCGCCCCCCCCCGAAAAAGAGCACTGACTTCACCCATACATCCTTTATCTATTTTGCTCTGAGGCATACTTAGAACTAATGTGAGCTTTTCTTTCCCTTGCAGGGAAGAAAGATCTGAGGACCAAGACTTACAGAGTCCCAAGGATAAGTCGCCAAAAGCCAAAAAATTCAAAAAGGAGCGGAAAGAGGAAAAGCAGCATGAGCTTGCACAGCCTTCTGCAGAACCAGCTGAAGCAGGCAAGGCAGAGATGTCGGAAGGAGCTGGGACTGCTCCAGCTGTACCCGAAGCCTCTGCATCTCCAAAACAGCGCCGTTCTGTCATCCGGGACCGTGGGCCAATGTATGATGACCCCACCTTGCCAGAAGGCTGGACCCGCAAGCTTAAGCAGAGGAAGTCTGGTCGCTCAGCGGGGAAGTATGACGTCTACCTTATCAAGTGAGTGACAGTGGAGGATGTGTATTGCTCACAACATGTACTGCTTTTCAAGGCTTAAATTGAAATCAGTGCTTAGGTCTAGTTCCAGAATTTGATTTGTGCCATGCTTCAGCCCTGGAACATGTGACAAGAAGTGCCCCTGAGCATGTGCAATGCCTTCTTCTCACCAGTAAGTAACCATAACTAGTCCCCACACTCTGGCCTTCAGGTCTGGGAGCATAACTTGCAGACCATAGCTCTTGCTGAACATTTGCTTGTTGTGAGCTCAACTAGTTGGTACTTTAATTCTATTGAATCCCACAGTGTGAGTGTATGTGCATTTTAACTCCCCTGTACCGTTTCAGATTGCAGGTGGAGTTAACGTCATTTTCCCCTTAACATTTACCTTCCTTACATTAATAATTTCCTAAAAATGGAAAATTAGTATAGCTGCCAAAGTCTCTAAAAACCTACTGACAGCCTAAGCATACTTTCTGCTTTGTGTTACTTTTGAAAGACTAATTTTGAATCCATGCACTGTATGAAGGTGAAATTTCAGCCATTGTCATTTGATTAAAAAAGGTAACATTTTTCTTTTTCCTCATGTTTGCCTGAAAGCATTAGAAAGACCACCTGCATCCATTTTCTCATAAAATCTCTGCTCATTCCCCATCATAGGGCTCAAGCACAACTCTATTTGCTCTGCTGCTTCCCTTGAACTGAATCAGACCAAATGGCAATCAGGTTTTCTGTGGAATGTCATTTGTTCTGATTCAGTGGTAAAGAGTGTGTCTTCCAGGGGAAAGCTGCAGAGCAAATGTAAAACTGCTTGGACCTATGCCCAGAAGGCACAGGATAAGTGGAAAACTGCTCAGACCCATCCTTTTCAGGCATGGGACAAGCGAAAGTGTGGATGAGCCCCTAGTTGCAAGACTAGGATTCTAAGTCCACCATCAGGCTCAGCATACATAGGAAGCTCAAGCCATAATAATTGGTCTCTGTAGCCCAGTATTGTCTGTGCAGACTGGCAGCAATTCTCCAAGGTGCTTCCCAGCTGAAGATGATGTGATAGCACCCAGGGCAGTGGCTAGACAGATTTCTCAGTGAGATTCATGAGCAGGGTTATCCCTGTTATCTAGCAGTGGAGACTGGACATCGTTAAATCCAGCAGCTAGCCTTCCTGTGACATTGCACACGAAACACATACACACACACACACCCCATTTTAGAAGAAGCTAAATTTACCCAGCAGTGATTGGCTGTCTACTGTGACAGTCAGGAAACCACTTCCCTCTCCCACTGAATTTAAAGTGGGAGGAAAGAAAGGATAGGCCTGAAATAATAAAGCATCAGATAAAACTTTTTTTAATCAGATAATATACCAGGTGTTTGTAGGGAAGAAACCCCAAAACAGAATTAACAAACTAGCTGTCACTCTCCTTCCACCACCACCACCCCGCCCCCTCCAAATGCCAGGTACAGAAGCAAAAGTGAGGAGAAACAGAGCCTAGCCTACAGAAAAGCAATCAAACGACCTCCCACCCTACTTCTTTCTTAAGTATGTTTGTTACCAATCTGATGGATTTATTGGACACCTCCATAAATGTTGGATCTATTCAGTTAGTACAGAGCATGTACAAGGTTGTCCACTACAGGGTTTTGTGCACCTTCCTCAAAAGCAGAGACTTTTTCAAGTCAGGAAGTAAACTTGAAGTATGCATTTGTAGTGTAATTCCATTAATTTTCCTTCTGTTCTTCCTCCCCTCTCCCTTTTTCTTTTTGTCCTTTTTCATATCTCCGGCTCTTGCAAATGCAGCCCCCAGGGCAAGGCCTTCCGCTCCAAAGTTGAGCTCATTGCCTATTTTGGAAAGGTGGGGGACACCTCTCTGGATCCTAATGATTTCGATTTCACGGTGACTGGACGTGGGAGTCCGTCACGGCGAGAACAGAAGCCTCCGAAGAAACCCAAAATCACTAAAACGGCTGGCACAGGTCGCGGGCGGGGCCGACCAAAGGGCAGTGGCTCTGCCAAGCCCCGAGGAGCTGCCTCGGAAGGTGTGCAAGTGAAGCGGGTGATTGAGAAGAGTTCTGGAAAACTGCTGGTCAAGATGCCTTTGCAGTCCTCTCCAGCAGGAGCCAAGGCAGAAGGCACTGGTGGGGCCACCACCTCCACACAGGTCATGGTGATCAAGCGTCCTGGGCGCAAGCGGAAATCTGAATCGGACCCCCAGGCTGTGCCTAAGAAACGGGGGCGTAAGCCAGGCAGTGGAGCAGCAGAGGTAGTTGCCGAAGCCAAAAAGAAAGCAGTCAAGGAGCCGGTTGTCCAGGCGGTCCGGGAGACAGTGCTGCCCATCAAGAAGCGCAAGACACGTGAGGCTGTTAGCATAGAGATAGCCAAGCCAAGCCCACCTCCTCCAAGCAACACAGGGGAGCGGAGCCCCAAGGGACAGCGAACGGCTGCCAAGAGCCCAGGGCGCCGCAGCAAGGAAAGCAGTCCTAAAGGGCGGGGTGGCAATGCCGTACCAACCTCTGCCCCTTCCTCCTCCCCTGGCAAGAAGGATCAGCACCATCCTCCCCACCAGCCGCCTCCGGAGGCCCAGGGCAGCTCCCCTTCTCAGTCCCCTGAAAGCCCCAAGGACAGCAGGAGCCTTCCAGCTGAGCCCCAGGACTTGAGCAGCAAGAGCTGCAAAGAGGAGAGGGCTCCGGAAAGTGATGGCTGCCCAAAGGAGCCACCTAAGACTCAGCCCAGCGGCACAGCAGTGCCCTACAAACATGAGCGCAAAGACACTGTGTCGTCCTCCGCGGCCTTGCCCCGGCCCACAAACAGGGACGAGGCCGTGGACACCAGGACACCTGTGTCAGAGCGGGTCAGCTGACTTTGAGGGGGGTGAGTGAGCAAGTGAGCGCCAGAGGAAACAAAGAGAGAGACAGGCACTCCCAGCCCCCCACACCCAGATGAGACTCCAGGCAGCTGCTGGGCAGGACTCCCCTTTCCCCAGAGTGCCCTGGCTTTCAACCATTCAGCTACTCCAAAACTATTCTTCCTCTGTTCCAATCCTTCTCCCATTTTCAATACAGACAAGCACAGTGTGGGGTGCAGAGACATGCCTCCCAGAGCTGGAAGCCACTTTGCACTTTTTCTACAGAATGGGGGCACCCTCTTCTCTCCCCCCACACCCCCACCAGCCCCTTCTGCCATGCTTTGCTGCATATACTACTGACAAGGCAAGCTGTTTGGCAGGGGAGGGGCAGCTCCAAACTCTGGCCTGTCGCCCTGATCCTGCTTGCCCTCCATATTACAGAGGCCTGGTGGACAGATTGTGGGGAGGGTGGGCATGTGTCTATTCCACTCCACCTCCCTAGTGCCATGTAATGTAGTTGTCCAGTCTTAGTTGGATTTCTGTAGTTTTCAGTAGGATGTGTGTGTACACACGAGAGAGAAAGAGATGGGACTGTGGCGTACTGGGGAACCAATATTCCCCTTTTGCCAATTAGACCAGCAGATAGGAAAGTTTTTCTCTCCCCCAAGGACAGTTGTGCTGCTAAGAGACCACTGGGATACTGGGGGCAACTTTGTAAGAATGTCCTCCTTTCCTACGTCTATCCCAAAAGGAGAGGCCTTTTGATTTTGTTGAAGCAATCTGAGTGTGCTGAAGCGTGTACGTGTGTGCGTGTGCTTGTCATATGCTAAGAGTTAAAATGAGATGTTCTTCCAGTTCTTGTCAATGATGTTAGTTTAGGGAACTGTTTGCACTAATGGAGGCCTTTGCCCACCTTCTGTGAGGCAACGGCATGAAAGAGTGTGCCTGTGTGTATTGGAGCGGGACATTTTGATGGAATTCTGGCTGACCTCTCCACCTTAGTTCTGGGGCAGGAAGGTAGCTGAATGTTTCTAAAACTACCTGACCTTCTGTGTTGGGATTGATATGTGGCAGTGGCTTCACTGAGAAGCCTAGTATTTGTCATTTACAAGGACTTCCTTATGGCTGGCAACCAAGCTCTTCCATGACAGTTGAGCACACCTCACTCCCCAGGGACAGAGAGCTCAGCAGAAGAGTAGTGTACCTTGGGGAGGGGACTTGGTTTCAAATGGATGTCTCCTTTGTTTTGTTTTTCTGTCTGCAGAAGATAGAAGAGGAGGGGTAGGGAAGCATTGACCACTTACTTCAGTGTGCTTATTTTTGTTTTTAACTGCATATGTAGTACAGACAGGATCTGTGCCCCCCTCCATTCTAGGCAGTAGCAAAGTACCCCAAGAACAAGATGGGGGAGTATGGGTCCAAGCCAGCAGTCTGGGCAGGAACTAGAAAGAGTTATCTCTGAAATTGTTGTCACTTTGTGGTGGTGCAAAAGGATTAGAACAAGCCCCATCTTGTTCTGCAGCTCTTTGAGGGCCAAAATAGATATGATTCTGGACCTTCATGATCAGATTTTTATTTATTTATTTTAAAACCAACAACTTAAAACCGCAGGAGGCTCACAGCAGCAGTGCTGAGGAAGAGGGTATTTAACTCTCTCCTTCTCATCCAACCCCTGCGCTGGTTGTCTTTGGTGCATACACACCATACAGTGGTACCTCTGGATGCAAACGGGATCCGTTCCAAGCCCCATTCGCATCCTGAGCAGAACGCAACTCGTGTCTGCGCATGCACGAGTTGTGATTCACCACTTCTGCGCATGCACATGACATCATTTTGAGAGTCTGCGCATGTGTGAGCAGCAAAACCCGAAAGTAACCCATTCCGTTACTTCTGAGTCGCTGCGGAATGCAACCTGAAAATGCTCAACCTGAAGCATATTTAACCCGAGGTACGACTGTACATATAAAGCACATGACTTCCCCAAAGACGCCTGCCCCTAAAAAGAGCCACAATTCCCATCATACTTAACAGGTTAAAGTTCCCAGGATTCTTTTTTGGGGGGGTGCACTTTAAATGTTCAATGTGTACACAGCTTAATTCCCATCCCATCCAAGCTGCTATTTTCCCTGCTTGTGAGGGGATACAGGTACCTGCACAGTACTGTCCCATCCCCATCCCCCCCCCCCACATAAGAGGGGCAGAATTTAGATCAAGAAAATGGCCATGTGGCCAGTATAGCCACCCTCTCCCTCAGCACCTCTTTTCCAATAAAAATTGGAGCCTCCTGCAGATTCTTGGAATTAAAAATGTTGAAGGATCTCGCATTAGGCTCTCTGGAGGCATGCCTATTTTGGGCCCTTAGAGAGAGACCTCAGTGTGGAGACAACTTATTTTTATGTTTCCCCTTTTTGCCTATTCACCAGATAAGTAGAGTAAAATTCCTTCCGTGTGTGGCAACTGTCAAAAGACAGTTGCACTTATTAAGTATAGATAAAGGGTAATGCACTAGTCATAACTGAGAGACTCCAGGTTCATAGTGGGAGGACCAGTTAGGATTGGGACTACCTTCACTGCAACAATTTACTTAATTGCTCATTTTTGCTTGGCTTCCTGCGCTGGCACCACAGTCAAAGCCAAATTTTGATTTTTCTTTTCTTCCCATGTATATAACTCAGCAATTGGCAGAAAGGTTGGGGATGGCTTCTAATTTTTGTTCTTCTGGGAGAAATCCTGTGCTAGTGATTGGACCGAAGTCTGCTGCTAATCACAGACTTTGGAATATACCCACCCGCACCCGCTCTAAGGGTAAGGTAACTAGTCTGAAGGCCAGTTCATCATTCACTTGGGTGGAAGTGGCTATCTGAGGATACTGCTGTGGAAACATGGTCGAAAGTACAAAGAAGTGGGGGAGAAAATGGCTTGGTGATAACTAAAAAAAAACCAACCCCAACAACTTCTCAAAGGGCTTTTCTTTGATTATTATTTTTTAAGGCACAAATATAATGGGGTGGATGGGTGGGCAATGAGCAAGTATTCACCAGGCTGTGGGAAACCTGGGTGGAGAAAAGATAGTTTCCTTTGGTCTCAAGTTCTTTGGGGAGGTTTTTTCACCTGACGCTGGTCCAGGATGAAACTGTCCAGGCTCCGCATGAGAAACCCTCCCTCATTTACTAATTCTTTTGAGTTATGAAGGGTTTTTCGTAAATAGAGAACAGAACTTTGCACTTCACTCCAGTCCGGGACTGCCACTGGTTTGACATGTTTTGAATCTGCAGTGCATTGCCCCTGGAAATGAATAATTGCAGCTAAGGTTTCCACAGAAGTATCATGGGTGAAGTAGCTAGGCATTGCCGTCCTGAAAAAAACAGGGCAACCTTGGGACTAAATAATGGGCAGAATAAAAATAGTGGTGGCAGCAACCCTTCCTTTCTCAGAATGGGCCTTTTTCTGAAATTCCACTCAGTCCAGCTGATGACTGAGAGTCAGACTAGGTGGCAGCAAATCTGTATATGTTAAAATGATTGTGTAAGCAGGGGAGAGATAACATGTGGGCACGTGTATGTGCCTCTTGCTTTCTCCTTGCACACCCTCTCTCTGGCACATACACTTCTCTTCTCAGCTTTCTTCCCAGCTAAGATCTGATTACATGTTGGATCTTATGGGATGGGAGAACAGTGCCTGTGGAGAGGCGGCTAGGTGTTGGTAAGCAGGCCCAGGGTGGGTTCAGGTTCCTCCACCTGCTTCATGTGTGCTGCTTCTGCTCTGAAAATTAGACCCACACCTCCTTGTTCTATGCATGGCTGGGGACAGATGTGTTTAAACAAGAAGGTCTGCCACTACCATGTCAGTTTAACCCTGAGAGTGCCCTTGGTCTAAACTTCCTTCAGGTGCAGGCCATTGTTGCATTCCACTACCTTTCTGGGATTCATAACAGCCTCTCTTATGCTGCAAAGTGGAGACCTAGCTTTGCAGGAAACACACCCAGCATTTGGAGCTATCGGGCAGTATGTTTTGCTACCATACCTATGTCTTCTGTGGACTGCCACAGGGAATCAATGTTGCCAACATTAGGCTTTGAAGAGGTCTCCTCGGGCTTTCCTCACTATTTGGCAGAGACCATTTAGAAAACGTGGCTCTTTCTGTCACAGATAGATGTGACTTCACCTCTGTGTTCGAAAATTATCCCAGCTTCAAAAACATGTACAGGTGGCAGACCTCCCAGCTGCTTCTTACTGTCCAAAAGCAAATTGATTTGTTGAGGCAGGCAATGGCCCTCATGGGAGAAATATTTTATTTCTTTTTAGTTGTTTTTTCATGGAGAGATTGATGCACTTTAAAGTCAAGAGAGAAAAATAGTCTGTCTTCAATGAGCCACAAGCCCATTGCAAACCACATGGTATTGGCAGTGAGGGTAGAAGGGGTTATGAGCCATATGTAGCCAACTGGGGAGACTAAACAAAAGCTACAAATAGAGATCCATATATTTTTAAAAAGAAAGCCTCCGTGTACAACTTAATTGAAGTTAGATGTTTTTGGATAGAAAATGTGTCTAGGGGCAAGTGTACATGTTGGAAGATACCATGCTAGAACAGCAATACCCAGTTCCACACTAGAACCACCCCAATGCCTAATCACATACCACTATCTAGGTTTAAAGAGCTTGCAAAACCATGGAGTATCCTGATCCCATGTGTCTACATTCCAGACAAGTGAAAGGATGGCATCTTCATGCCATTATCCTCCTTCTTGGTGTGATGTAGTACTGGAAAAAGAAGAGGGGTAGATTTTTGTCAGTGATGTAAGGCCAAACTTGATGTTGGTGGCAGACCTGGGTTTCTTCCAGACAACTACAAAGTGGCCAGAGCAGGGAGTTTCTTTGCACTAGAGAAACAACAACCCGGAAGAAGGTTATAATCCTGCGTGCCTTTTTCCCTTCTCTCTTTTCTCTCCCTCCCCCCAACTGCTGCAGTTGGCATCCTTTCTGCTGCTCCACTTTGCAGTTGTTTTCACATCTGGGTCTTCCACCAAAAATTTAGTTCAGCCCAAAGAAAAAAGATCTTCAAAGTGCAATGAAAAGTTAATAGTGGGGTGTGAAGTAAGTCCTGGCCTCTCCCCATCCCCCACTAACCTAATGATGCTATTGCTGCTGGCTGCTTCTCCCAGAGTGAGTTACACCAGTTGTAGTCTGGCAATCTAGGTCCTCTTATTTACAGGGATAGAGAGTTGTGAGCTCCACCTCTGCTCCCAGCTCTGCCCACTTCCACCCAGCTCAGCCTCAAAGACGAATGTGGATAGTGCCTGGCGTTTGAGAGACTGTGCAAGAGGTTTCTACCTTGTTAGCATTGTGAACCACCCAATGTTTCTGTGTCAAGTGAAAATAAACTTTTCGTCGGTTTCAATTATTATCCAATAATGTGTAGAATTTAGCATTAGGCCTAACTCTTTTGTTTGGGGATTTACTTTCTGTTTGTTTGTTTGTGTGTATGTGTGTTGTTTTTTTTAAGGCACCCAAGTAGACACAGAAAAAATGTCTAATTTTATATATCTGTATATTGCATTATAAATGAGGGGTTGCTTTTTCCGCTTATTGCACCACTATCAAACAAAAGGACAACAGACCAACAAGCAAGGAATGATATGGTCTGTTGAGAATTTATTATATGTTGCTTCTTGACCATTTTTCCTGGTATTTGATATCATAGGACAAGGGGAAATAAAACTGACCCATCAAACCTGCCTGCCAGTAATTTTTCTCCATTACAGAGCTGAACTGCCTTTTAACCCTGGCTGTTTTCCATTTCTGAAAGGGGGTTTCCTCTCTTGTCTCAAGAGAGGAAAACCAACAAGGTGGTTGAGTATAGCCAACATTTTAATTTTTTTGCACTCCGTCAACTTCTAGGGCAGGGCACTCATTTGGGAAAGGAGGGAGGACATAAGGAGGGACTCCAATTGACCATACAAACCTATATCCAGTTGGACTTGAATCTTAACAAGCACCATTAGCATGATTTGTCTGTGTCAGTTAATGGCCACTTCAGTAGCAAAATAATTTTGCATGATAGCATTGCTGTTTGAAAACTCCTTTTGGTTCTCAGCTGAACCCCCAAGTACTGTTCCTCTAGTCTAGAGCATATCTCTTCCTCCTTACAGAAAACAAAATTCTTGTTAAATTCCACACACAGAGAGGGAGAGCACTCCTCTGGCATCAGGCATGAATTGGCAACACTCCACATACCTCTCCCCTCCCACCAACTGAAAACATGTCGCACACTCCTTTCCCCCCTCAATTTAGCAGAAGTCCAGATCTCATTTCCAAAGGCCTTTGGCCGGCACAAGTGCTATGTAATTCTCATCTTGCTTACATGCAGAGGCGGCTCCAGAAAAGGGAGCAAAGAAGGAGTGTCTGGAGGTTGAGCTTTCTTTCTCATACTGCAGTCTTTCCAAACAGAAACAAGTCATTTCACAATCTATATTTTTTAATTCAGACAGCGTGGACAGGGAATTATTCGAGTAGGATTTTGTGCTTCCCGTCTTCCTGGCGCTGCCCATGCTTGCATGACTGATAATCTGGGGGC